GAAAGATTAATTATGAAGCACCATTGCTATCAAGCAGTGAGGAGGGAAAAAAAGAGAGAAGATGCAAGTAATGTTTCATTCTTTATCTGCCAGGCATCAGATCTCCTAGCAAAGAAGACAGAAAGAAAGGAGCATTATTTCTCACAGTTGTAGAGCCTGAAGCTTTGGATATTGATGACAATTTACTGCTCACTTAAGCATCCTAATTCCAAACTAGACCTGCAGAATTATAAAGTGTGTAAGGGGGTGAGGGTCAGGGAAAAGAATAAGATTTTTGAAAGATAAGTCCTCAACCAGAGGACACCAAGGGAAGGGGGAAAGTGAAACATTTAATTGACCTGAAGCTCTTGAGCCACCTAAGGATGCTGGACGATTCTGGATCAAAGACTGAATTGGGAAAGGAATAAGAAGCATGCAGTCTGGGAATAGATATCTTAATAGATATCTTACAGGGAGTAAAGTAATTTAATCTAGAAAGCAAGTAAATGAGTGTGCAGAAGATTCTGCTGCCACCAATAAGAAGAAAGAAAAGATTGGTGATTGGGGTGGGGGGAGGGAGGGAGGTGTGGATTAACCAGAGGAGACAGCAGATGGTTAGATCAGAAAATGTTAGAGCTGGAAAGGACTTTGGAAATCTGACCCAATCCCTTCATTTTTTTTCTTTATATTGATACATTTTTTGTTTTGACAAAAATGTCCAGCAAACACCAAAAAACTCACCTAAAAGCTCACTCTAAGTAGATAAAAACCACTTAATACTGCAGTTATGACAATAAACCACTTTTGCAGTGGGAAGGAAGTGTGCTTTAATTCTGATAATCTCCCAGTGTATCTGACCTGAGATTTGCTGCTTTTTAGTGTCTTTATTTACATTGTTATAACATAGCCACAGTGTATTTGGTTTTTCCTCCCTGGTTTCTTCTTCTGGCACTTAGAAGAGTTTTCCCATTTTCTCTGAATTCACATTCATCAATCCTTTTACGCCATTGCATTCATATGCTGTAATTTGCTTAGCTGTTCCCCAATGCCTTCATTTTACAGTTGAAGAAACAGAGGCTTAAGGAAGGAAGCAACAAGCCCAAAGAAGATCTTAAAAAGAAAGCAAATGCAGAAATTGTGTCCTGTGCCGCATAAAAGAATGCAACATCAATGGTTAGCATGCAGGATAAGATAGAGAATTGCATTTTAAGACACTGAGGGCAAGTGGGTTATCCAATTCTCAGCCCTTCTAGCACAAAAGCTTTCATTAGGGTTGTAAATAACATTCCTCTGTGAGGTAATTGGAACATCACACCAGAAAAACACACTTTGGTTAAATTTAGGTTAGATTCTGGGGCTATGCCTAATGTAATATCAGTTGCTACTTTTGGTTTTCTGAAAGCAACAGCAAATATAATTTCAGATTCCTGTTCAAGTTAATACCCTCCCTAAAGGAGGGTATTATTTGTATAATTGTTCTAAGTAAAAAGCATTCCCATTCTTGAGCTAAAACTTGTGAGGTCCTTGGCCTAATTTTTAAATTTTTTTTTTCCTGTGAAGAAAGATGGTTTTAAGAATGTGTTTCACAGGATAGGATAATCCCTTATAGAATCAAACTGAAAGGTGACTTAACAAAAAAAACTTACCATGAGAAATTGGTGGTAGGTGTGGCCAACTGCTAAGTCAATTCAATATGCATTTACTTAAACATCTATGTGTGTCAGGTACTGTGATAGGTACCTGAGATACCAGTCCCTGCCCTCAAGGAGGGTGTTCTACTGGAATATAATTCTTACTTTCTGAAAGAAACATGGGTTTCCCCTAGAACTAGGCTTAGGGGGTACTGGAAGTGATAGCTGAATTCTAACCCCAGCTCTGTGAGGCAGTGGGAAAGTCACAATCTCCTCAGGCCTCATATTCTCCTCTCTGCTTCGTTTGGATGTTATATGGCTGAAGAGTGATAGAAGATGCAAAGGCGATTGGGAAAATGTGAGAGGACTATATAGCTACCAGGGAAATTGTATTAAAGACAGTTTCAATTTCAGTTTAATATTACCCCTGAATGAATCCATTCCTTCTTCATGAACATTTAAGAGCTTAATTACTCCAGGCACGCACCTAGTGGGGAGACACAAAGGAAGGGAGAGAAAGAAATTGGTTTTCTACAACTAGAACTATAATTTCATTAGCTAGCTACCCTTACCAAAGCAGATCAGCACCTCCTTTGCAATTAGAGTTACTCTAGCACAAGATAATTTAAGTAACTTACCTTGAGTCACATATCCAGGATGTATCGGGGGATCCAGATCTTCTTAGCTCAGGGATTGAGGCTCTCTACCCAATATGCCATAAGCCTATGAATTTTATTCCAAAGACAATTAACTTTCTGATTAACAAACTGATTTAATGGTAAAAATATAAATGCCCCTTCCAAATTGCTCTAAGAATTTATCTTTTCCTAAAATAGAAGTCCTTGAAAGCAAAGGCCGATAAGATTTCCTGAGGCATGGCATAGCATTTGATTTTTAATGAGCACTAAAATATAAACTAATTATTTTCATTCAATACCTTACCTTTTGTACTGTATTTGTACATATTTCCAATATCATCATGTCTTTTTTCTTCATCATTACAGTTTTTGTACATAATGATCATATGCATGTGTTAAAGGCCTGTTGTCTCAATTTATTTCCTGAGTTTATCAAATAATAGACCTGATTTTGGTGTAGTTGATCTACTTTCTCTCTCCCTGCTGCCAAAAAACATCCTCTGGTCTCCTAGGTTCTCAAAACAACTTCGTTTAGCTCTGCCCTATTCACCAGCTATGATCTATGCCCTTTGCTTTTCACAGCCAGAGGAATAGCTGCCTATTTCATTGCCTATGAACTTCTTGAATGCAAAGAATTTTTGTCATTATGTCTCTAGCACAGCCCAGTACCTGGCACATAGTAGGCACTTAATAAGTGTTTATTGATTGATTGCTTACCCAAGGTCTTACAAGTAATAAAGCAACAGAGCCAAAGAAAACAAAGATAAAGGAAAGGCTATCCTTCTCCTCATTCACTTCTTTATTCCCTGCTCTCTGACTCCAGATACATTATTCAACTGAAACTGCTTTCTCTGAAGTCACCAGGGGACCCTTAATTGCCAAATCCATCGACCTTTTCTCTGTCCTCATTCTTTACCTCTATGTAGTATTTAACATCGTTAATCACAATCTTCTCCCAAATAGTTAGTCCTTTATGGGTTTTCATGATACTGTTCTTTCTTGGGTCTCCTCCTACCTCTCTGACCACTCCTTCTCAGATTTCCTTTGTAGCATCATGCATGTCTTAGCTTCCTAAATGTGTGTGTACTCCAAGGCCTTGTCCAGGGCCCTCTGTGCTATAGTTATCCATTCCACACCTCAGGGGTTAGGGACACTGTGCCCTCGAAAGCTGGAGAATCCACATAAATTTTTTTGGCCCAATCTTCTTACCAGAGAAGAAGTTTGAATTTTTTTCTTTTTCTTTTATGGAGTGTTTACAGTACCTTATATTATAAAATTTGGATTAAGTATTTGGTCATAGACTTTATTATACAATACTATACATATATTTTTTGCATTTCTTAGTTTCTAAACTTTTTTCTGTGTCATCTGCAGCTTCCCCAAAGCTCCCTACAAAATTCCTATTTAATTTCTTATGCGGACCTGAAATATATCAAAACCTCCATGGGGGAAATTGCAATGTGAAAGAGAGAGCTGCACTTTCTTTTGGAAATCTTATCGGTTACCATGAGTTCAGTTATCATTTCACGATGCACATGACTCCAAGCTCTATACATCCAGCCTTGGCCCTTGTTAGTCCCGGGCTCAAAAAGCATCAAGATCTTCTTATTGTCTCTAGGCTGAAATGCAAACTCTTCTGTTTCTTTAGCATTTAAAGTCCTTCACAATCAGCTCCAAACTACATTATTCAGAGCTTATTATACATTATTTTGCTTCAACCAAACTGGCATACTTGTTCTTCCTTTTATGTCTAATATCTTCCTCTATATCTCCATAACTTCCCTCTCCTCCCCTTCCCCCATCTCAAACCCCCTCTTCCCCCCAGCCCCCATGCACAGAAAGCACTTTCTCTTCATCACTACCTGACAGAATCTCTAGCTTCCCTGAAAGCTCAATTCAGCTGCCACTTCTCCATCAGATCTCTCTTGATTCCCTGCAGCTGCCCATGTCTCTCTCCCCCCAATTACATGATTTTTACTTTGTATATAGTTTGAATTATCTTATGTAAATAAGTTATCTAATAAATTATTTACATGTCATTAGCCTGTCTTTGTATTCCCAGCAGTGCCTAGTATATAGGCAGTAGGTATGTAATCAATGCTTATTGATTGTTCTTTTATGTATTCTATTCAACTCACTGAGAGTCTGAAAAATGTACCAACAATCCATATTCCCAGCAGAAGTTTTTAAAGAGGACCAAAAGCATAGCAAAAATAACCAATGATGGTAATTCGCGTTCCTAGATCTCTAAGGTTTTGCAAAGTATTTCGCATGTCTTATTTCATTTGAACAAAATGCTCCAGCTCTAAATAATTTTTAAGTGCTTAACATGTCATCTCATTTGAACAAAATGCTCCAACTCTAAATAATTTTTAAATTTTTTTAAAATAATTTTTAAAAATGAATTAAGTACTTTGCATGTCATTTCATTTGAACAAAATGCTCTAACTCTAAATAATAAAAGAAAAGTGAGTTGTTATAGAACTTTTAAAGTTTTCCCAAAATACTTTCCCTGATATTATCCCCATTTTACAGATAAAGAAACTGAGGCCCATAAAAGTAAAGTGCCAAAAGTGGGATTCAGATTTTGCCTGACTACATACTGATATTCCTTTGACTGCACAAATCAGGTTGTCTCATGTTTGCGGCCACATAAGCATTAAGCATTTAGACATTCATGTGTTGTCATTGCTAGAGAAAATTTAGTTGTGTCAATTTTACTATTCCTCATAATACATTTTACTTAATCTAGGTGGCTGGTACTAGCTGTTGCCATGGTGCGATTTTATATGGAGAAAGGAACACACAAGGGTTTATACAAAAGTATTCAGAAGACGCTGAAATTTTTCCAGACATTTGCATTGCTGGAGGTAAACTTTTCATCTCTACATCTTGCTTGATTTCTCTTTGTTTTATTTATATGAAAATTTGTTTGATTAGAAAACCAGATCTTATTATGCTGTTAAAACCCAGCCTATCATTTTTAGTGTAGCTTTCTTTACTTTTTATGTTGCAGATTCAAAACAAATTTCAACTTATGTAATTGCATTTTTTCTCCATGTCTTTACAGATAGTCCACTGTATAATTGGTGAGTTTCTGCTTTTATTTGTACTTTCTTAGACTTAGAGTCAGAAGGGCCCTTAAAGGTCATCCTATCCTATCCCTTTATTTCATCCATGAGAAAATGGAAACCTAGAGAGGTTAAATGCCTTGCCCACAATCAGTCAGGCAGTAAGTGCTAAAACTAGGATTTGAGCTTAGGCCCTCTGCTGCTGGAGCCAGCACTGGTCAATTAAATGTTTCATTAAGGGACATTGTTGACTTCTTTTTTCTCTTGCAGGAATTGTACCTACATCTGTAATCGTGACTGGGGTCCAAGTGAGTTCAAGAATCTTTATGGTGTGGCTCATCACCCACAGTATAAAACCAGTAAGTGTGTGAATTTGTTCTGTAGTAATCTATAGGAGGATTTATGATAGGAAATGTTAGTATATTTTCAAAAATACTATTGCTTGACACAGACTGAATCAGGATTTTAGGTGCTGTTAGAGACTGTAACTGAACTCCTGAATATTGATTTAATATTACGTAACAACGTTCACCAAGTTACAAAGTTGGAAGAGACCTCAGCAGCTACGTAGTCCAAACCATCTCTATAAAATAATCCATATGATTATAAATCCTAGAACTGGTCCTCTATCCTTTGCTTGAATATCTCTAGTAAGGGGCAACATGCCACCTCCCAAGACAAATTCCACCTTCGTATGGTGTTAATTGTTTTAAAAAACAAAAAAAAGACCTCTTTGCTATTTCTACCCATTGGTTTTAGCTCTTTGTTCATGGGCCAAACACAGTGAGTCTAGTGAACTAGGGGTGGGGAACCTTCAGCCAGAAGGCCACATGTGGCCCTCTAGGTCCTCAAGTGCGGCCCTCAAAGGGTTCCCCACCCCTAGGACTCTAGTCTAATCCCTCTGCCAGATTCTCAAGCTCTTAAAGACAGCCATAAAGTCTTATAGGAGTCTTTCCTCCTCTAGGTCAAACATTCCCAGTTGTGTTGGTTGATCCCAAAATGGCATGGGTTCTAGGCTCTTTCTCCATTTTGGCTGCTCTTCTCTGGGACACCACCCAACATAACAAAGTCCTTTCTACAGTGTGATGCCCAGGACTAATAAGAATGGTTAAGAAATTATAGTGTCTTTGAATTTGTAACTTAGATTAAAGCGCTTTCACTTTTAGTAATTTAGCACACAGTATTTCTCGACATAAAAAGAAAATGTGATTGACCAGTCAAAGGACTGAGCTGTTAGAAGAGATTTAACTAAAAAGGAGAAAGATTTGGGATCAGGAAACAAGAAAAAAAGGGAGGGAGTGAAAATGAGAAGATTCTCTTAAACTGTGAGCACTTTGGGAAGGGGGTGGGGTGCTGTTTTTTTACTTTCTTTGTATCCTCAGAGCTTAGCACAATGCTTGGCACATAGTAGGTGCTTAATAAATGTTTGTTAACTTGGCTTTATTTGAAAAACAGAAACAAAAAAACTAGGAGAATATCCTCAGTTGGAACAAAATATTCATGGGCTTGAGGACAGAACTGAACTTGGTGGCCTAAGCACACTGCTATGGCCAATTCTTGATTTACTGTGCCAAGAGCTTGCTTTGGCCAAGAATAGGAACATTTTTTGTCCTCTCTACCCACCCATTCCCAGTACAGCTCACTCCTGACCTTCTGGGCAGACTTCCAGGCCTCCCAAGTACTTGGAAACAGATCTCTGGTTCTCTTTCCACTCCACACAGATCCCTGATCTCCTGTCCACATGGGGATATACCTCTCTGACTTTTCATCCATTCTTTCGAATTTTAACAAGTTCTCGGCCAGAAGATGAACTGTTGTGTTTTTTTTTTCTTTGTCACTGGGAAGAGACCCTGACTTCTAGTCTACTTTGGAAGAGGTCCATTGGATCTATTCCTTGTAGACCTTTCTATCATTCAATACCTTCAACTGGTCTACTGGTGTCTTTTGGTCAGCCTGACTGATTTAGTTCTTTGACCAGTCACCACCACATAGGTAACATCTTGTACATACTGGGTGTGGGGGTAAACCTTTCCTTAACTCAGTTTTTCTAATAAAAGATATATAAATAAAGCATTTATCATCTGCTAACTATGGGTCAGGCCTTGTGCTAAGCCCTGGGGGTGCAATACAAGCAAACCTTTAAAGCACTTTCAAGCCAAGCCTTCCTAGGTGCTTGGAAATCTACCCCACCTGCAGGGCAAGAAAGGGATTAGGGAGGGGGGAGGTTTATGTACCTTCCAGTCTTGGCTGGAGAAGAATTTGGGATTAGGCAGTGTTTCCAGGTAAGAGAACCATATGTTGAGGTTTAGAGGTTCAGGGGTGCTGGGACTCCAAAATCATGACACGCGGGCCCTGCCCAAATGAATTTGACCCAAGCCTTCTTTCAGCCAAAGACAAGGTTTATTAAAGATCCGCCATAGTGGCCAGACTCTAAGGAATTTGAACATTTGTGAGCTATTGGCTAGATTATAAGTATCTGAGCCCTTGACTACACTCTTAAAGAATCTGAGCACCTTAATGGAGACAAGATGGACCTTATATACAAAAAGACGGTGGGAGGGATCTAGGTAGGATATTGATGGGTGTGGCCAGTAGGCTGGGGTGATTGGAAGAAGGATCTAGGGAGGATCTTGATGGGAGTGACTGAGAGGTCAAGAATGAGGTCTAGATAGGGTCAAGGTGGGGAGCCGTGGGGAGGTAATAGAGGGCTAGACTCAATTAAGGGTAACAAAGAATTGGGAGATTGTGTGTAGGCAATAAGGAAAGGCCAGTCGATAGGACCATAGACTCAGGCAAATGCCAGAGACCAGAAGTCCAGGGCCTCTCCTCCTGAGGGTCCAGATCCCAAAGACATGTTTCCCTTCCTTTTAGGGGTTCAGACCCCATCCTCATCATTTAGTGACAAAGAGGCAAAAGCATTGATTCCTACCTATCATCTCCTTTTATCCTCTTGAGGAGTATTACCATAATATTACGAATTCTTCCCAACTAATGACTTCATATATTCCTATATAACTTTGTTCCCAAAAGTTGTGACCTCACTCCTCTTCCCTCACAGAAACACCCAGAGGAGGGCAAACTTGGCTCAATGCCCTAGTGTCTCATCTTCTCCTAACTCTTCCCACTGGGCTTCAAATTGATCAATAGGGCCAAGTACTTTACTTCCTTCCAGGCTCCAACTAGTCCAAATGGGTCCAACTTCCTTGTTCTCCTCCTTCCTGATTCCTTGCATTTTCATTAACTGTCCCCCAGGTCTGGAATGCTCTCCCTCTTTGTCTTTGCTTTCTAGTTTCAATGGCTTCCTTTAAATCTCCACTCAGATCTCACCTTCTACAGGAGTCCTTTCCTCTTCTCCATAAATGGAGAGCCTTCCCTCTGAAATTACTTCCAATACATACATACATATATACCTATATACACACACATATATACCCATGTGTCTGTATGTGTGTGTATCTTATATGGACATAGTTGATTGCATATTGTTTATCCTATTAGAATGTAAGCTCCTTGAGGGCAGGGACCATATTTTACCTTTCTTTGTATCTCCAGTGCCTTACATAGCACCTGGCACTTAGTGTGTGCTTAATAAGTGCTTGTTGACTTTTAATACAAAAAATAGCCCTACTCATTTGGAATACCTATTTCCCCATTTTTTAATGCCATTGTTAAAACCTATTTTAAAAGTCTACTTAAAGGAATAGATTTAGGAAGAAACCATTTATTATCCACTTGAAGTGACTCAGCCTATTGCCAGCCTGGCCATTTGCCATCACGGAATCACTGAAAATTGACCAGTGGCTGGAATAACTAAAAATAATCCTTGGAACCTCAGCAGTTCTAAGACCAGGAATAAGGTGAAGGATAGTTTTTAATGAATAGTTGATACTTATTTGTTATTAATATTAGCTTTCCTACAAATAATGTGCTAAAGTTCTTTAAAAATTTGTTCTCTTAAAGTTATACACTTCTTCTTTGCCTGCATTATTTATGAAGAAAGTGCTTTCTAAAAGTAAATTTGTACCTATTTAGTTAATTTCAAATGCTCAATTAGTGAAATGAGGCTTTAAGTGTACTTTGTATTTCATCACCTAATGTTTTCCTCAAAATAGATCTTAGTACCTTATGAATAGATTATTTTTCCAAAAATTAATATGAAGCCTGTTTGCTTGGAATTCAGAATACTTTTCTTTTTTTTTTTTTAAAAGAAGAAAAAAAATTATATACCTTTTTGTTTGCTTTCTAGATTGGGCCACAAAGTCTATTTAGCTTACAATATAGTAGAAATAGTATATGTTAACATTGAAAAAGTAAAAAGAACAATTCTGTTGTATCAATGAGTTAATAAGAATTTATTAAATATTTACTGTGCCAGGCACTGGAAATATAAAGACAAAAAAAAAAATCCCTGCTCTCAAAGACTTTCATTCCATTACTATCAGGAACTTCTATTACTATTAGCTCCTTCTTCCTTAAATCCCCCTGCCATCAATTAAATAAGAAACAAATCCTCTCTCTTTGAAAAGAAAAATCTTCAAAACCAATGCTTTAGAGGAAAAGGAGACGAGTTCAAGATTTTTGTAGAAATTCTAAGTGGAATTTCTGAACACTTTTAATTTTTTTTTGGCGGCACTGATATTATGTCTTAATTTCAATTCAAAACTTCTGGTTTCTTTTCCCTTAATTCAGGTGTATCAGTAACATTCCTGTTACACTTAGTCATGATTCAGGTTATCATTTAACTACCAGAATAAATTAAGCTTGGGAAAAGGAGAGAGATTTTCCTGAAAGAACCAGGTGAGAGATGAAAGAGAGAATAAGATGGTTAAAAGGAATACATACAAAAAATCTTTTACTGAGGTGAAATTAATAGATATGAATGGTGAAAGAAGAAAACTGGGAGCAAATAATGGGCAATAATAAAACAAAAACAATCCTGCACATGTTTTGCCCTAGATAACAATCTTTTTGTTACTTAATTTTCTTAAGTATAGTTTTCATGAGAGTGGAGAAAAGAAGTAGTATATGAAAGACATTATGTCAGAGGTTCAGACCTTTCTATGCTGACCAAAAGGTGGCGCCATTGTTCCATGACAGCTTGGTTGTTGTCTAGAATGATTTGGTAAATGTGATGGGGTTAAATGGAATAGGAGACTGCAATTGGCGAGTGTGTAGGTAAGATGTTTATAACCCAATATTGATTTGTATAAAGTACACTTTTTCTAATAAGGCATTAAATCTGTGTCCTCAAAGTTTCTGTAAATGAATAATTTGAAACTAAAAATGCAGTTTTTCCACCGAAGATGCTATTGATTCTTTATAATTCTGCAGATCCAGAATGAGGACAGTGTGGTACTTTTTCTGGTGGCGTGGACTGTGACAGAGATCACTCGATATTCCTTCTACACATTCAATCTTCTGAACCACTTGCCATACTTCATTAAATGGGCCAGGTGGAGATGTCTTGTAGTTTTGTGCATGTTTATTTCATGAATGCTGAGCTTAACATTAAAGAACAGATTTTAAGTTTTGGCCACATGTCAATAGGATACTGTCATTCTAGATTTTAGAAATGTTACAATTTGCATTCTAAAAACTGTGCAACTTAAATTAATAGTGTAAATTATTTTAACATTTCGAAATTCAAATTGTTCAGACTAGGAATATTAAAAACATTATATAACCTTGGACAAGACATTTCATCTCTTCTGGATTTAAGAAATTCCTCATCTATAAAATGAGGAAGTCAGACTAAATTATCTCTAAGCTCCTTTATATTTCCAGCATGTTTTGAATTTGTGTTTTACTGACCCAAAATAAAACTTCAGTCTCTCCTTTTTATGTTAAAGCCCAATATAAAATTTTTAAGTCCATCAAAACTATTTCAGAAATACAAAGAATTTTGTATGAAATGGCATAAAATTCACAGCTTAAATTCTAGTAGTGTATAGAATATCTTTTACTTGAAAAATTGGCATTCGCATAAATCTGTTCAATATCTTTTATCCTTTATTCACAATAATAGTGTTATTTACTATTAGTAAGATACTAGAGCCATTTAAAAAGTCAAAATCTATTTGTGTGTTATTTGTTCTATCTGTAGGTAAACCATAATTACTTAAGAAATCCATCACAGTAAATCACCACTTAAGTGGTTCTTTAAATAGGATTTTGTCTAGTTAGGTATAGTCATACTATATAGTTTTCCCTTTCACATTGTGACCTTTCCCGTCATGGTTTTGATATGTCATAGGTTAGTATAAGAAATTAAATGGGAATTTTTTTGGAAGTTTTGCGGAAGCCACAGACAACAGGCAAAGGCCAACAGGTGACACAGAAAAAGTTTAGAAACTCAAAAATGCATAAAATATATGTATAGTATTGTATAATATCAACTCAAATTTTACAATAATGTACTATAAACACCCCATAGAAGAAAAAGAAAAAAATTCTTACTTTTTCTCTAATACAAAGGGAAGACCAAAAAATTTTACACAGATTTTCCACATCATGGGGATGCCATGCCCTTAATTCCCACAATGTGGAAGGGATAACTGTATATAATTTTTTAAGATACGAGACTGAGCTGTTCTAGCTAAATTCTTTTGCTGACTTAATACATCATAAATTTACCATGTAAAACAAAGGGTAAATAAGCTATATGTCTTATTGCACTTTTGAGAGTAAATCATATCCAGAGATTTATTCATTCCACTATTAAAGGATAATAGAGTCAAATAGCTGAGATGGGTTTTTACTTTATACATTTCTCCCTGGTTCTTACATTATTTCCAAAATAAAATGAGATGTTTATGATCTCCTCTTATGATGTTTCAAATTTCAAACTCACATGATGTTCCTAAACTTTGGTCTTGGGATCATTCTTTGATTGAATTGGGCATGTTTTAGAGCCAAATGTACTTTAAGAGCTTATCCTTCTAAATAATTAAATATCTTAAAAGTATTGACATTTAAATATTGAATTAGCCCATCTAAGATAGTAATAAATTCAATTGAACAAATATTTGTTAAATGCCCGCTATGTACAAGGGAAAAATACAGCTAGTTGAATTGTAGAAGAAAATATTAGATATTCGCAGCTTGTGTGCAGATGTACTTCTGAAATTTTATACTTTGATCCTGAAGTTCTAATATCTTTCATTTGAAGACCACTACCATCTTATATGTATGTTGGAGGTGGCATTTTCTTTCCCCACACATGTTTTGCATTCATTTGCAGCTTTGGGGCCTTTTAAATAATCAACCTGTTTCTTTACAGTGGGCTGTTTTTTAAAAATGCAATTAGGTTTCATTAGTAAGTTATGTGATCAATTCTTTTTTGGATATTTTCATCATTTATGAATATCATTTATGTTATCAATTGTTTTTCAAGTTTGATCTCAACTTTTACACCTTCATTTACCTATCTGTTCATAAAAAAAGTTTTCTATTTCAGTGCTTAAAACCAAAAACCAAATATCTAGCTAGGTTAAGGAATGTTCATTGTACATTTCTTTCAGGCTCTTGATCTAGCTTTCAATGCTTTGCCATGCTGCCTTTTAGTGAGTAATTAATTGCTTCTGCATGCCTTGACTAAGTTTTTGAAAACATTTTCAAAATACTGCCATTACTTAATTTCCATGTTGGATGTGATATTTTAAAAACATTTTGCATTGCTTGCCTTACTATTAAATGATATATTCTGGGTTTATACTATTTCAAATCCCATATGTTCATTTCATCTATTTATGTTATTCAGGTCTGTGTTTAATAAAGCCTGCGAGTGCTGCATGAAGATGTTGCATGCATTGGTTGTTGGTGGGCATTAAGATTCGCATTCATTTCTAAATACATCTGTCAATCCTATAAATAACCTGAGATTATATTTACAAGTCTATATCTATTCAAAATATTGGACCTTCCTTTTAGCGATAATTTGCTTTGGAATCTCCTAAATTCATGAAAAATATTTCTTATGCATAAAACATAAGGACTGCTGTGATATTATACTTGCATAACTTAATTTTGCCTATTAGTTACTGTTATGAATAAGTAAGTAAAATAAATGTTTGTATAATGAATCACATTTTTTCTCTGGCTTCCATTTTATTTTCAAATATGTGTTTCCTCTAAAAAAAACCTTTTGATCTCAACACATAATAGCAATCACACTTAAGAATTCTCACATCCTGTCAGGAAACATTATGCCTTTTTCAGTGCAAGTGTAGGTGGTGATCAGTTAATTTTGCTATTGAGGCCCTGTAAGAAGTTTATTTAATGAATAGTCCTTCTACACATTCTATTAAAAATGTGTACTTAAAAATAAGTCACACAGTTTATTCTCATTTCGTTTGGAATGCTTACTGACTCCAAGGATTTAATATATTTCTAAGGGTAGGGAGATAGCTGATGGTTCAGTGGTTATCACACTGGGCTAGGAGTCTAGTAGGGAAGACCTGAGTTCAAATCCAGCCTCAGGCACTTCCTATCTCTGTGACCCCGGGGCAAGTCATTTAACCTCTGACTGCCTGACAAAATGGATCCACTAAATCTACTGCTGAAGAAAATGGCAAACCACCAAATGGGGTTACCAAGGGTTGAACAGATCTGAAATTATTGAACAACAAAGGGTAGGGAACTTTATTCTAGTAAAGATCAATGATAAATAAAAATCATATCTGAACTAAAGCACAGGTAAAAATAACAATATATATGTATATAAGTATTATCATACATATAGATTCCTTTTGAACAGATCTCATTTTAGAGACATGCATCTCATTTAGGGAAATGTATATTTCCATTTTGTATTACAGCATTTTAAAGAGGAAAGAGACTTTTAAGACAAAAAAAAGGAAAAGTCATCTAGGAAAATATCTTTTCCAGACTTATGAGCTTAGGTTCAGAGGAGAGAAGGGGGAAGTAGATATCAAGGCCAAAATCTTCCATCCAATCTTAGCCTTGTTCCCCATAATCCTAATTTGATCAATTCAAATGCTTTCAAAGTGTCCACCTAATTTCTAGTTTTTATCTGACCTTCACGTGCTTTCTGAACTTCCAAATTCATTCCATTTGGGCTTTCTATTTTTTGAATAATTCTTTTTTTCTCTGCAATTTTTTTTTTTTTTACTTTGCCAGTCAGCCAGCTATGCTAATTGTGGGGAAGAGGGGTATTTTCATCTCTAGCACATTTTTTTTTCTTTCTAGGCACACATTCACTTAAGTTTCAGATAAAGTGTTTTTTAAAAAGTCAGGAACTTACAGGAAGCCAGGAAATCCTTTAAACTTTTACCTTTTCAACTTTTCCCTGATTTAGGACGTTTTCCTTTCTAAAACTGAATAAAATAAGAGATGAATGTATTTGTTGTCTCTTCCACCAGGATGTTAAACTTAATTCTGTTACAGTCAGTATCAAATAGGGGTTGTATCATGGAAAAATGGTTTTCACTCCATCTTGTGGCCTTTAAAGATATTCCTGCTAAAGAGTTAGATCATTTAAAAATTTTTCTCTAGGCTTTAGTAGCAAGGGGAGAGACACCTAATAGGCACCAGGAAGGAAATGAAATTGTCATAAGTAACCCTTTTTCCTTACCCTAGTTTAATTTGCACCACACTTTGGCTGCGACATTACTGTAGCACAACTAAGTAGCTGGAAATGTCACATAGATTAATTTTCTGATTTCAATTTAATAACTCCCATTGCTGTTCCTTTAAGTAGTAAAATAAGTTTTTGCAAAAACAAGTTAGCATATAAATGTATAAGTAACAAAGATTTATGTTTAAAAATTCTCTTTTTAAATAAAAGCTTCATAATTTTGGTAATTTCTAGGTTTGTATATGGGCAGCGAGGTGACATGGTGGATAAAGTTCCAAGCGTGGAGTCATAAAAACTTATCTTCAGTTATGAGTAAGACTTTCACATAGCACCAAGTTCAAAGACTGTCTCTCCATTACATGTTAGAACCTCTGACAGGTGCTGTTCCAATGTGGGGGTGGTTTTTTGTTTTTTTAAATCATTTGAATAATGTAAATGTAGAAGAACCAATTATACACTAATAGTACTCATTATGCAAGAGCCAGAGGGAAAAGTACTAGACAGATTTGGAATCACTAGATCAAATCCTTCTCCTCCTCCTCCCCACTTCTCCCTACACTTGCTTATAATGTGAGGACATGTAAGTTACTTAATTCTCTAAACCTTAAGTTTTCTCATTAGGAAAATAGTGATAGGAATACTTGAATTACCTAGCTCACAGAGTTGTTGTTAGAAAAGAGCATTGCAAACCTAAAAACACTATGTAAATTTGAATTGTTATTATCCTATTAAGAGACCTTAATTTACTAGCTGGAAATCTGTTCTAAGATGTTTGTAATTTATAAGTATTGGCAGAGGGAGAAATGTTTTAAGTAGCTCCGCAACTACAAGAAATCAAAGAAATTAGATTTGAGTGATTTGTTAGAGAATAATTCTCTGGTCTTTTTTTTTTCCTGCAGATATAATTTTTTTATCATCTTGTATCCTGTTGGAGTTGTTGGTGAACTTCTGACTATTTATGCAGCCTTACCCTACGTAAAGAAGACAGGAATGTTTTCACTAAGACTTCCTAACAAGTACAATGTTTCCTTTGACTATTATTACTTTCTTCTTATAACTATGGCCTCCTACATACCATGTAAGTATGTGTTCTCTACTACTTTGATTTAGAATTGGGGATTTTTTTCTATAATAGTTTAATTTTTGGCATTGTTACAATAATCTAGTTCAATAGGTGAAGGAATGAAATAGATATTTACAGCTAACTACAGTAAAACTCTCTTTTTAAATGGTGTATGTGGCATTGATGAGGTTTAGGGGTGCCGGGACCCCAAAATCAAAACACACTGGTCCTGCCCGAAAGAATTCAACCCAAGCCTTCTTTCAGCCAAAGACAAGGTTTATTAGAACATCCGTCACATTGGGAAGACTCTTAAGGAGTCTGAACATTAGTAAGCAGTGGCTAGATTTTAAGAATCTAAGAACCTTAATGGAGACAAGATGGACCTTATATACAGAAAACTGTGGGAGGGATCTAGGAGTGGCTAGTTTGGGGTGACTGGAGGAGGGGTCTGAGGAGATCTGGATGGGAGCGGCCAGTAAACTAGGGTGAACAGAATTCCAGGGACCTGGACCACTTGGCCTGGGGAGAATGGAGCCTAGCTAGGATTAAGGGTGAGAAATGGCCAGGGGCCATTAGGAGGTAAAACAATGGAGGGGAGATTGGGTGTAGCCACAATGAAAGGCCATTTGATGGGGTTATAGCCTCAGGCCAAGTCCAGGGTTTTTTCTTGCTGGGGTCCAGATCCCAATCCCATCTGCATGTTTGTACATTGTTGTTCATATGTTACTTCCTCCATTAAACTGTGAGCTCCCTGAGGGTGGAGACTGGGATTTTGTTTTTATTTTTGTTTTTGGCCTTTATTTGTAAAGTTTAGCACAGTGCCTGGCACATGTTGTTTTTTAGTCAGGTCCAACTCTTTGTGACCCCATTTGGGGTTTTCTTGGAAAACATATTGGAGTGATTTGCCTTTTCCTTCTCCAGCTCACTTTACAGATGAGGAAACTGAGGCAAATAGGGTTAAGTGACTTGCTCAGGGTCACACAAGTATCTGAGGCCAGATTTGAACTCAGGAAGATGAGTCTTCCTGACTTCAGGCCTGGCACTCTATCCACTGTGCCACCTAGCTGCCCATAGGTTGGGGTCAGTTTACCCAAATAATCCAATAAACATTTATTAAGTACTTGAGATTTTTGAAATACCCCTAAACAATCTTAATTTATGGAGAATTCAGACTGTCAGAACCACCAACCAGTATATTCGTTGTTGTTTGCTGTTCAGTCATTTTAGTCGTGTCCAACTCTTCATGACCCCATTTGGGGTTTTTTCTTGGCAAAGATACTGGAGTGGTTTGCCATTCATTTCCTTATCCAGCTCAATTTACAGGTAAGGAAATCGAAGCAAGCAGGGTTAAGTGATTTGCCCAGGGTCACACAGGTAGTAAACCTCTGAGGCCAGATCTGAAGTCGGGAAGATAAGCCTTCCTGATTCCAAGTCCAGTGCTCTATTCACTATGCCATCTAGCTGCCTCCTGCCTGGCACATAGTAGATACTTACTAGCTGTGTGACTCTGGGCAAGTCACTTAACCCTGTTTGTCTCAGTTTCCTCATCTGTAAATGCACCAGAGAAGGAAATGGCAAACCACTCTAGTATCTCTGCCAAGGAAACACCAAATGGGGTTGTGAAGAATTAGACATGACTGAAACAACTGAATAACTTGCTTATCCACTTTATTTCTCTCTTCGTATGTGTTCTTGATGATGTTTAAGGTCAGAGAAACTAGAGCTGGAAGGAATGTCGAAGATGATCTAGTCCAACCCCCTCATTTTATTATTAATTTATTTTAATTTATCAACAATCATTTCCATAAGCTTTTGAGTTTTAAATTTTTCTCCTTCTCCCTGCCTACCTCTCTTCCCAAGACAGCACACAATCTAATATAGGCTATACATATACATTCCTATTAAACATATTTTCACATTAGTGATGTTGTAAGTAAGAATTAGAACTAATAGGAGGAATCACCAGAAAGAGGAAACAAAATACAACAGAAGAAAAAAATAGCAAGTAGTATGCTTCAATCTGCATTCAAACTCCATAGTTCTTTCTTTGGATGTGGATAGCATTTTCCATCATGAGGCTTTTAGAGATGTCTTAGATCCTTGTATTGCTGAGAGGGGTTAAGTCTATCAAAGTCAGTCATCATTCAATGTGGCTGTTACTGTGTACAACATTCTCCTGGTTCTGCTCACTTCACTCAGCATAAAACCATACATGTCTTTCCAGGTTTATCTGAAGTCTGCCTGTTCATCATTTCTTATAGCACAATAGTATTCCATTACATTCATATATCACATTCACAATTATGATTACTATCTGTGTCTTTCTCTCCATCTTCTTCCCCCACTGTTTATGCTTTTCTTTCTCCTTTCTCCTTTTCCCTCCTCACTAATGTTTTGCTTTTGACCACCACCTCCCTCAGTCCCACCTCCCTTCTATTAGCCACATCCCTTTTCTTTCCCCTTTTCCCTCCTACTGCCTGTAGGGCATGTTAGATTTCTATACCTAATTAATTATGTTATTCCCTTCTTGAGACAAATCTAATGAGAGTAAGGTTCAAACAATGCTCATCTCCCTCCCTTCTTTCCCTCTGCTGCAATAGGTTTTTGTGCCTTTTCCTGTGATGTAATTTACCCTTGTCTGCCTCCTCCTTTCCTTTTATCAGTTCATTTTCTTAGTTAGATCAGATTAATTCACTTACTTAGATCCATTTAACCCACTTGATTAGATTTTTTTCATCATTACATCAAAGTCAATTTATACCCACCCCTTTATGTATACCCTTTTAACATGGTGCAATAACAATGCAGTTCTCAAGATTTACAAGTGTCATCTTCCCTTGTAGGTATGTAAACAGTTTGCCCTTATTAATAACATGTTGTTTCTTTCTGTCCTGTTCACCTTTTTATGTCTCTCTTGAGTCTTATATTTGAAGATCAAATTTTCTGTTGAGCTCTGGTCTTTTTATCAGGAAGGTATGGAAGTCCCCTATTTCACTGAATATCCATCTCCTCCCCCGAAAGATCATGCTCATTTTCTCTGGTTAGTTGATCCTTGGTTGTAATCCAAACTCCTTTGCCTTACAGAATATCATATTCCATGCCCTATGTTCTTTTAATGTAGAAGCTGTTGGGTCCTGTGTAATTCTGACTATGGTTCCATGATATTTAAATTATTTCTTTCTGGCTGCTTGCAGTATTTTCTCTTTAACCTGGTAATTTTGGAATTTGGCTACTATATTCCTTGGTATTTTCAATTTAGGATTTCTTTCAGGAGGTGATTGGTGAATTCTTTCTATGGCTATTTTACCCTCTGGTTCTAGGACCTCAGGGCAGTTTTTCTTTATGATTTCCCGAAAGATACTGTCCAGGCTCTTTTTTTCATCATGATTTTCAGGTAGACCAATAATTTTTAAATTGTCTTTCCTGGATCTATTTTCTAGATCAGTTGTTTTACCAATGAGGTATTTTATGTTTTCATCCATTCTTTCATCTTTTGTTTTTGTTTGACTAATTCTTGCTCTCTGATAGAGTCATTAGCTTCCATTTGCTCAATTCTAATTTTTAACAAATTGTTTTCTTCTATTAGATTTTGTACCTCCTTCCCCATTTGGCCAATTGTATTTTTTAGGGACTTGTTTTCTTCAGTGTACTTTTTTTCCCATTGGCCTATTGTATTTTTTAGGGACTTGTTTTCTTCAGTGTACTTTTTTTCCAGTTGGTCTATTGTATTTTTTAAGGACTTGCTTTCTACAGTTAATTTTTGTCCTTCTTTTTCCAAGCTATTGACTCTCTCTTGCATACCTCTCATTTCTTTTCCCATTTTTAGTTCTACCTCTCTCATTTGACTTTTAAAATCCTTCTTGACCTCTTCTAAGAAGGCTTTTTGGGCTTCATACCAGTTCATATTCCCTTTTGAGGTTCTAGATGTGGGTTTGTTGACAATGTTGTCCTTTTCAGAATTTCTGTCTTGATCTTCACTCTTCCCATAATAAGAATCTATTGTACGTTTCTTTTTGCTCATGGTGTTTGCTTATTTCCTGGCCTTTAAAGAGATTGAGCTCTCCTTCTGGGGAGCAGAGGGCACTGACCCAAGCTTCTTGTGTTGGGAGCCTAGGGTCTGGTCAATGGCTTTGTGTGGAGGCTGTAGGATTCTGGCAGCTTACCTGGTGTTGGGCTGGAATCAGCAACACTGGAACTCTAGGGGTAGGATAGGGTAGTGTGGCTCCTGGAGATTTCCTGCTCACCCAGGTCTTTCCTTCCTTTTGCTTTCCTCAGCTCCTTTCAGATGGATGTTGTAGGGTCTTTATCCACCTGGGGCCCCTTGGAGCGCTGCTTCCCTTAGTTTTGCTGAGGCACTGGGAGACCTGGTTGCTGTAGAATGCTGAGGCCCCTGGTGGTTTTCTGAGCTGGTTTCCACCAGTTTCCCTTTCCTCAATGAGGCACTCGGGAGTCCAGCTGTTGGTGTTTGCCTGCTCTACCGCCTGGGCTTCAGGATCTCCTCCTGGTATGCTGAGGTGGGGCTTTCCACTTGCTTGCTGGGATGCCTCCCTTTCTGTACTGCTCCCCTTCCCCCAAGGTAAGAGGGGCCTTTCCAGTTAATTCCTCAAGCTACCTGGGCTACTGGACTGCTGCACCCCATCTTTCTTCTGGTTCAGCTGTTCCAGGGTTTTTCCTGGGGTGATGTTTTCTGGGATTTCAGGGGTTAGTAAGGGAGGGTAAAAGAGCAACCCCCTCATTTAAAGATGAAGAAACTGAGGCCCAGAGAGGTTTAGCAACTTGCCCAAAGGCACACAGGTAGCAAGTGGTCAAGCGAGGATTGAACAAAGTTCCTCTGACACTAAATGTTTTCCCTTTTGCCTTCTTATTCTAAATGTCTCTGTCCCCCTACCCTCTTTTTCTTTTTTTTAAACATTTAATAATGTATTTATTTTTAGTTTTCAACATTAACTTCCACAAGATTTTGAGTTCCAAATTTTCTCCCCCTCTCACCCCTCCCCCCACCCCAAGACAGCGTA